TTTCTCGCGAAACTGGCGCCCAATGGAGCCGTCGCTGGCGGCGTGCGAGGCGTCCACACGCGAGGCGATCGTACACTTGTTGGCCACGAGTCGGGCGGCTTTGCGGCGCAGATCGGGCGGCGACTCCTGCACTAAGTCCGTGAGGAATACGAAGCCCGTGTGCGGCATAATAGCCGATGAGGAGAAGCCGCTGAGGGAACGCCGTTGACACCCGAGTACTTCCAGATTACACGACGGCATCTTCGAGAGGTTTGTTAGGCCGCCCGCCAGTCCCATGAGTTTGGCGGCGATGGAGGCGCCGGCGATAGCTGTGCGCGAAGGGAATGGGAGTTAGGAGTGAGTTAATTGTGGAAAACAATGGGTTAGTGTTGGTATGCATTCAATTGGTGTATAGTTTCGTGAGATTATCATTGAGATTGAGATTTAAAGTTATATTTGTATAAAACATACGATTATTACTGGATTTAAACCCCTATTTAGTATTAAAACTCAATGTTTTTCAATGAAAATCACTCAACGATTGGACACACAATTGAACGCCAATTACCGGAAAGGTTGGGCGCAATGAACGACATCCGCGACTCCACGAACTCATAGATCTTCAGCTTATACTCGTTGAGACGGACGGCTATATCGCACGCCTCGCGCACGTACCGGAGCTCCTCATCCGTCAGTGTCTGTCCCTGAGTGGTGGACGCCGTGACGGACACCACCATAATGGTGGCCTGTGTCAGGAACTGGGCCATCACTTGGGACGTCTTGGCCCGGTTCAGCTCATTGCCCAACTCCTGGACAGTCATCACGTACTCCATGGCCGACGGGACCAGCGATTCCAACTCCGGGAACCGTTTGGCGTACTTATCCCTCACGAACTTGTGACATACGGTGATGTCGTTGTCGCACTCGACGGCCATATTGTTGGCGTCGACGATGAGTTTGTACTCCGGATGCGACTCAACGGGTCCGTCGATCTGCGACTTTCGCATGTCTTGGGATTCGCTGGACGTCTGTTTCGCGTGGATTTCGGACATCACTCGCGACAGGTCCGCGCTGTCCATGAGTTTGGCTAAAGAGCGTACGGATGTGTACTGAGCGCCCGATTGGTCGCCGTTTGTCGTGTCCATCGGTGTGTCACCGGTCGTGGTGTTGGTGTCAGCGGTGGTACTGCCGGTGATAGTGGGCGCCGCCGATGATGGCGCCAACATCTGGTCCTCGTAGTCGTCGTCGCCGTCCTCTAAGTCGGCTAACAGTTCGTCCGCTAAAGACATGGTTTACGCGTTTGGATGTCTGCGGGGATACTCTGGTGACTTGATCCACGGATGAGGTGGTGGTTAGCGGTGATAATGAAGACTCGTTTCGGTGGGAAACGTTGTGTTTGCGGTGAAAATGTGGTAAAATCCGTCGATTAATAAGTAAGCGTTTTGTGGGTATAGTCTCGAGTGAAGTGATCACTGGATCTGATCGACGACTAAATGGCAATTAAATTGTGTTTTGAATTCATTGCCCAAACGATCGCAAAACACATGCACTGAATGCCCGACAAAAATAACGTGACGTTTGGTGTCAATGAAAAAACGTAAACAAAAAAACTTTGAAAACAAAACACGAAAAAAGTGATTGACTTTTGGTTTGCATTTAATTGTGATTTAAATGGCATTTGAAATGGTTTTTGAGAAATGAGTGAATCGTTTGAATCGTTGTCTCAATTAAGTCGTGAAGAGTTGTATTCAACGATCAATGCATTGAAACGTGAAGTGAATTGTTTGGCAACAGATGTGTCGCGACTGGAAGTGATTGCGAAGAAGTGTCGCCAATATCTCACAGATTTAGTGGTCTTTAAACTCATTGATTGCGATCACATCCAAGAGTTACTCGATTTGATTGCGTTGAACACCGCGCGAAGTCGTGTCACTCATGGATCAAGTGGTGGACACAGTGGCGATGATAGTGACCACAAGATTATCGGTCAATCAAATGGTGATTGAAATTATAATTTAATCCATAAGTGAATCGTTTATTGATTTTTTGTCTTATTTGTATGACTAGTTTTGGGATCAATTGGTAGCCAAAGAGGTAGGGATGAGATTAGCGATGAGTTGAGTGGCAATGAAGTGGTCATCAAATGTGAATCACATCTTGAATACAGTGATGACACCAATGCTCGGGAACAACAGCTCCAGAAGCCCTTCGTGTGCACCGAATGCCGGAAGTCCTTCGTCTCGAGTCGTTGCCTTCGGATTCACCTCAAGAGTCATAAACAGTGGGCGCGAGTCAGCACCGGAAGGCCTAAAAGTGGCAAAACCACTAAAACAGGCACTGCTCTGAAGGCGCCTAAGAGTAGACACACCGTTGAGTCGCCTCAAGACGTGACCGCAAATGAAAAGTCTGTTAATAATCAGAGTTTGAAAAGTAAGCCAAAAGGGGTTGTGTTTACACAGACACCTGAGGGCCGGTATGTTTGCGATTACGCCGATTGCGGGAAGAGTTTTGCGAACAAAAACTATTGCCTACAACACCGACGCTCGCACTCCGGCGACACCTACCGGTGCGAGTGGCCGGGCTGTTCGGCCACGTTCTCCATTAAGCCGATGTTGACTCGACATAAAGCGACGCACAGACCGGAGAAATACCGGTGCGATTACGAGGGCTGCGACTATACGACCCGACTTCTGTCGAACCTACTTAACCACAAACCCGTACACTCGACCACTACCTACCCGTGCGATTGGGAGGGCTGTTCAGCGCGCTTTAGCACACCTAAAAACATGTGGAGTCATAGGGCTCGGATGCACCGAATCAAATACCGGTGCGATTGGCCGGACTGTGGGTACGCGACGGGCGTGAGCTATATATTAACCCAACACAGAGCGACGCACACGAGGTGCGAGCCGAGGGAACGGCTGTTTACGTGTCCGGTCAGTGAGTGCGGCAAAACCTTTAGCGACAAACACGCCATGACTTGCCATCACTTGACACAACACCCGGAGTCTGTGCCGGACGTGCCGTGGATTCAGTGCCAACACACCGGCTGTCCGTATAGGAGTAAATGCAAGTGGGCTGTGAGGGCGCACGTGAAGGGCCACACCAAGAGCTACCGGTGCGATGAGTGCGACAAAGAGTTCGCACATATGTCTCAATTGACGGGACATAAGCGGTCGCACGACGAGAGCTTGAAATACCGGTGCGAGTGGCCGGGCTGTGAGGGCCGTTACGTCACACCGAGTGCTGTGAAGAAACATATGATTATACATACGGGTGGCGGACCGGTATACCGGTGCTCGTGGCCCGGGTGCGATAAATCGTATCCATACAGGTATATGATTAGAGACCACGAAAAGATACACAGAGAACCCGATAAATACCGGTGCGATTGGCCGGGCTGTGGGCGCCAATTGAATACTAGCCGCAGTTTTAAGCAACACATGGCCGCGCATACCGGTGACCCCAAGTACCACAAATACCGGTGCCATTGGCCCGGCTGTGAATATATGACTTTCGAGAATAAAAGGCTTGTGAATCATGTGAATAGAAATCATAAGGAAAGTGGTCAGTGAGTGAACTACCGGTGCGTTTATGCTGTCTAATGGATTTATTGAGTCGAATATATAGGGAATAACGTGTTTACAATTGAACCCAATTTGTGATTTAATTTAATATACTTTTTGTTAAAACCAATAACGTGTTTGTGAATACAGTTGTAAACTTTGTGATAATTTTTTACATCAAAACAAATTATGATCTCATTTATGAACTATTAATTAATTTCAGTTTAAATTCTTGAATCTCTCGAATAAAACAATTGTATAGAAAAAAGTATTAAAACTTTTTTACATTTTTACATTTGATTTAATGGATGCCCTGAAAGGGGAGTTTGTACTCCACGTACGAATTGGACTAATAAGTCGAGTACTGTTTAGTCCGTCAATCGATACGGAAATCCGATAACAGTTGTAATCACTAAATAGATTAATGCACTTAATAGTAAATAATGTTTTAAAACTTTTATTAACACTATGCACGCAAATTTGTAGTACAAAGTTTGTATAGTATAGTACAGCAGAGTATCATTCTGTATATCATATCATAGCAAGGTTGCAAATGTTATGCAACTTAATTTTATGTTATTGAATTGGTTAAATGAGTTGATTTATTTGTTTGCATTTATATATCCAGTCATTTATTGAATTGAATCAATGGTTTGCATCACAATCTAAGGAAAGTAAAGTGAACTTCCTTAGGAACTTCCAATTCATTAGGAAAGTGAACAAAAATTAGTTTTAAAAAGTTTTTCCCAAAAGCGAGAGAAAGAAATGTCAAAACTTTTAGTCAATCTATTTATGTTGAAAACTCGTCTCATTGTCAACGCCTATACCGTGACAACACTTCCCGCGTATTATGTGATCCATAAGCCGTGGCAGACATTGGCGGAGGCGAAGAGGTTGAGGACCAGAAAGTATGAGACAATCGATGGCGAAG